CAGCAAGAACAACAGACACCATTGCTGCAGTGCAAGACAGAGTGAAGTGGAGGTCCATGACCGCCCACGCCGGTCGGCAAGGCACCGGATAGTGATAAGTCGACAGAGGAAACAATAATAATAATAATAATAATAGATAGCATTTGTATAACGCATATCCCCGCTCAACAGCAGGCTCTATGCGCTTTACACTATATTATTACCCCAGCAGACCATAGAACACTCCGAAACATTCCCGGGAAGCATACAGTGCAAGCAGCCGATTAAGCGCTCAAACACTAACAAACTGACAAGACCTTTCGCTGTCTACAGCCGGGTACCCATTCCCCCCTGGGTGAAGTGAGGAAAATTCGTGTAAAGTGCCTTTCCCAAGGACACAACGTCGGGTCCTTGGCGGGATTCGAACCCATGACCTTACGGTTGCGAGTCTGAGAGCCTAACCACTAGGCCACCGACGCCACAACAAACAATGTCACTGTCAAATGTAAGATGATGTTGTGAGGGAGAGAAACGGAATAATGTTGTAGTCGTTGTTGTTGTTGTTGTTGTTGTTGTTATTGTTGTTGTTGTTGTTGTTGTTGTTGTTGTTGTTGTTGTTGTTGTTGTTGTTGTTGTTGATGTTGTTGTTAGTGATCCAGTAGCATCTGAGCGTTAACTCTTCTGCATGATGCCATTCTGTAATAGCTGCATGTCTGTTCTAAATGTTGTCTTGAGGAGTACAGGCAGTTAGATGTGTAGGGTAGCTTGGGAAGAAAACATCCCCCTCAAATCGGTTAGTTTTCTACAGAAGAACAGATGATGTTCCACTGTCTCTGAGGGGAAGTCACATAGTGGGCGGGCAGGTAGCAGACTGCTTTACTTCAATTCGGTTGAGATGTTGATTGAGGGGCACATGTTGTGTTCTAAGTTGGAAGATTATGGATTGATCTCCCCTCCTAAACTCATTGATTGGATCTTTGACCACTGGTTTTTATTCATGTGGCCATACATCTTCTTTCCTGTCGTACCTGTGGCCCATGCTTTCATCCAGACGGAATAATAAGAAATCCTGGAGT